TGGTTTTAAAGGTTGACAGGGCCTTATTGGTGGAAACACATACTCAGAAGGAACAGTGGGATAGCTCTGTGGCAGTTTAAACCATTAAAGCGTTTTAAGAAATATGTTTGATATATATCAAGCAATGACAAACGGGAAGGAGAAAACGTGGAGATGATTTGGCAGGAGAAGATGACGAAAAACAAAGAGTCAAAATCTTGTATTTATTAGGGGCCACCATTGAGAGGATTCTGCTGCTGTGTGGGCATCCCTACTTCGTGGAGGGGGCTCGATTAGCCATGGCAAAGAGGCATGACAGACCTTGCCTGGGATTTAGGTCTATAAACCCAGAAAAACACTATCTCATTTTAATGAGATTATACCAATATTCACTGTGGCAGCGCTTCTCAAACTTTAATATGCTTATGCATCCCACGGGGTATCTTATTACAAGGCAGATTCTTAATTCAGAGGTCTGGGTTGGGGCCCGAGGACCTGCATTTCTAACAAGCTCCCAGGTGCTGCCATGCATCTGCCGAGTGGACCACACTTGAGGCTTTAGAGCATCACAGCTCCTTTCAATATGGTTTTACAACACAGCTTGCTGGAGAGAACGGTAACTATCAGAGCAGTGGTTTTCAACTTGACTTCTGCAGTAGAATCAACCGGAGGCCTTTACAAAATTTGTTTGCCCAGGTCCCTCCAAGACCAAAAAACTCAGAATTTCTAGGGCAACCCTAGGCATCTTATTTTTGCTAATACTTTCCAGGTGATTCGAATATGCAGCCTTTGAAGAGAACCACCAACATAAAAGTAGGGCCTCTGATGCTTTGCAACTGTAAGTATCCCAAACGTAAGAGAGTTCGTTTCAGGAGGGTAAAGAGAGGTCAAAGCTTAATCAAGTAACTACTGAAAATAGTCAGCCTTATACAGGAACCTATGCAAACTTGTATAAGCCTGTATCTAGTTCTGATCTTTATAATCATTGTTGGTGGTGAACTGAGGCATACTATTCTCTTAAGAAAAAGATCTATTTTAAAGATAAAAGGCAAGATTAGTTTAACTTCAATACTGTGTCTGCAGGGTGCTCACGCCTGGGAATGGTCTAGATGAGGGGAAGGGTAGCCCCTTTGAGAATTACCACTGATTCCCACAGGGCAAGTGAAGGGCCCCTGTGAGTGTCCCTTCCACAACCAAACTATGACAGCATGTGCTACAGGGTATAAAGACCAAAAGCTCAGTCATACCGACCAGTCTTGCTTCCTGGTTCTATCACTTCCTAGCTGTGTGGCTAGTACAACAGTACTGTTGTGCAGATTATATGATCTAATACAGGGAAAGTTCTGAGAACGATGCCTGGCAGGGAGCTAAATATGTACTAAAGGTAGCCATGTAACATTGTCTTAGCCATGTAATATGTACTTATCTCTTGCCACCAAGAGTGATGTTATGTTCTCAAGCCTCCTCAGAATGATCAACTCTGAGAGGGAATGGCCACAGAGAGCCCAGAGCTCTAGCTAATGCCTGGTGGAAGTACTCTGAGTTGCAGCCAAGCCTGATGGATAAAAGATCCACTATTCTCAGCAGGAGAGCAACTTTCCAGGGTGTTTTTCTCACTGGCTTTCTGATCGGTGCCACTGGATAGAGTGAGCCCCTGGTGCTGGCATCTGCATGCTTGTCCTCTGCTTCTCTCAGCAGCCTGGCGTGTAGATGTCCTTACCCATGGACTGGCCAGCTGCAAGAGTTGGATTCTTACTCCCTTCAACCTGGTGTCCACGCCAGGTCCAGGCTAGCACAGAGGAGTGATTCTGCACACTGCCATTTATCAAAAGCACTTTGAAGTGGTGACCATTGTGGTCCTTACAAAGCAGTCTCCATCCCTCTGCTAAGCTGGAGAATCTGCTGATGTTTCCAGTCACCAGAAAAGAGTGGGGCATCTAAGTGAGGGCTGAGGGAACCTGCAGCCTCAACTGTTAAGTTCCACCACGGACAGGGAGGTGGTAGGACCTTCTTGTGGATCTATGGGAGAGGCGGGGCCTAAAAACATCTTCTGGGAGCCTGCGCACTGTCAAGGAGCAAATACAGGATGAAAAAGATCTTTGCCAAGTCCTTCCTTCAGAGGAATGCAGTCCGAAGCCTCCATCCTGAACAATAAGTCAAAGCTAGCATTGGAAGTAACGCATTTTTCCATGACGGTCTGACCCCTGCTTCATGACCTTCATGCTGACATTCTGCTGGGAACTCTTCCAACTAGGGGATCTCAGGAGGCTGCAGTAGGGGCAAGAAGGGGAAGTAAGCTTGCTACTGTTGTCTCAGGAACCTAAGCCCAGTCGATGACCCATCCATTCAGGGTCCTGGCCGTGTCAACATTATTTAGTGGAAGGCTGGACTTCGTCATCAATCTGCTGCTACAGGAGAGCAGTAGCTAACCTTGACCCAGCATTTACTATGCGGCTGCCTGCACTGAAAGCTTTTTACGTGGATTCTATCTTGTCTAATCAGCACAACCATACTACGAGATAGCGAGGTAGGTGCTGTTAGCATTGCTTTTACACAGAGAACAAACACAAGCCCAGGGAGGTATCTAAGGCAACACCGCTGGGAGGTGGTAAAGCCAGGATTTACACCCAACCAGTGCAACTCAAGAGCCCACGCTGTCACCACCAAGCTCAAACGCCTTTATCTTTATATCACTCTTGGGCTGAGATTTAAAAAATAAATAAATAAAAGGTTTTTTTCCTTTCTAGGTTTTGGTAGAGACCACTGTGTTTTGATGTTTCATCCTATCTAGACAGGTCTGCCAACTCTCTACTCTGGCTTCCAGATCCCCTCTGAAATCACCCTTGACTTGGGTGGCCCATGGCAGTGTGTATCTGTTTGGGAATTACATCTCGAATCTTTCAGATTCTCATTCAAAAACTCATCCCTGTGAGGATGATAAAGACCTCACCCTCTCAAAGGGAGCTTGGGAATCCCTGGTGGCCTCCCCAGTCCTGAGAGTCCTACAACAACCCATCCCCTTCCCCATACCCATCCTGGGCAGGGGTCAAGCTAGGCAGTGGCTGGGCAGTGACACGTTGCATTTCCCTTCCTGTCCCTTCACATGGCAAAGAAATAACAAGCCTCTTACATGCCAATCCTGTTTCTTGCTCTGATCAAAACTACATTTGTCACTTAGAAAGCAAACCAGCATGAGGTATCTAAAATAGTCAAACTCATAGAAACAAGAGAGTAGAATGGTGGTTGCATGGTGTGAGGAGGAGGGGGAAATGGAGAGTTAATATTCAATGGGTATAAAGTTTCAGTTATGCAAGATGAATAAGAGATCTGCTATACAACACTGCACTACGGTTAACACTACTGAATTGTATACTTAAAAAGTTTGTTAAGGGGCTTCCCTGGTGGCGCACAGTGGTTGAGAGTCCACCTGCCCATGCAGGGGACACGGGTTCATGCCCCGGTCCGGGAAGATCCCACATGCCGCGGAGCGGCTGGGCCCGTGAGCCATGGCTGCTGAGCCTGCACGTCCGGAGCCTGTGCTCTGCAACGGGAGAGGCCACAACAAGTGAGAGACCCATGTACCGCAAAAAAAAAAAAAAAAAAAAAAAAAAAAATAAGTTTCCAAATCCTTTGCTCTCCATTGACTCTGCTTAAAAAAAAAAAAAAAAAAAAAAAAAGTTTAAGATCTCATGTTGTGTTTTTACCACAGTTAATAAAAAAAAAAAGCAAACCTACAAATGACAAGATCACTCACACAAGTATCTCTTAAAATTCAACTAAAAATACTGATAGCTATTCTATTTCTTTACTTATATAGAGTGAAACATACAAATGTGGTAAAGAAAAGTGTTCTTTCTACCTACATAAATACACATTTGAGAACTGATTTATGTCGTAGTGAGGGGTCAGCTGTCTGTTTTTCTTTTGACTGACACATAAAAATGTTCTATGTGCTCAAAAATAATTTTCTCTCAATTTTCACTCTTCAATGCCACATAATACCATAAAAGCACATGCATCAGCCAATACAAATACTACTCATGATAATGTTAACTTTGTATGATGATGGACATGTTAATTAGCTTGCTGTGGCGACTATTTCACAATGTATATGCATATCGAAACATCGAACATTTTATTTGTTGGTTATACCTCAATAATGATGAGAAAAAGAGGAAAAAAGAAAACATGCCCTAAGTGTTAAGCGTCCACCTGGTATACTCAAGAAATGGTAATCATTAGTGTTAAAAAAAAAAAAGACCCATGACTATTGAAAGTTAGGCTTTCTTTTTCTCTATAATTTCAGAATTCTGAATATATCATTGGCTCCTTGAGGTCTACGTGCGTAGTCTTGTCAAAACATACAAATCCTGAAGATACTCTTTTCAAGAAGTGGCAGGAAATTCACTCTAAGCATAGTGGAGTAGAGCTGTGGAATGATGCTGTTTCCAAAAGCCAAAGGCATGTGCCAGACATTCAAGAAAGCAAGTTTCCTGTTGGACATAACTGCTGGGAGTGCTGAAGGTACATATTAGTCTAGGCTGCGATACAGATGGAAAAGAGAAGGCTTTCCAATGATCGTCTACAAAATGCATTCATCAGGGTTTAGGAGACGGGGATGGAATTTAATCAATAAACATCTCCTCTAAATCTCACACTTGGTTTCTTAAAAACCGTTAAAAAAAATTCAAATTCTCTTTAATCAATCAGGAAAAATAGTAAGTGCAATACCTAGGTGTAGCAGCGTCGGGAGAACCGGTACTGTTATTTCCATGGCTAAAGCCTCAAGTCAAGCAAACCAAAGCATGCAGAGCACCGACTAAGGATGGTGGCCCACATAGCCTGCTTCCCACAGATCAACTCCATAGTGGAAATTCCCCACAATAATGATCAGAGAAGGGCTCACCCCACTGCTGCGGTTTGGCTCCACCCCAGCATTTATCCCAGGTCGGGGTAAAGCAGCTTTGAGCAGACAGCACACACAAGCAGCACTTGAGCGTCTGGGGAAAACCGATACTCACCTCCGCGATCTTCAGCACTGCGCTCCCATTCAGGTCAAAGGTTGGGGTGTAGGTTATGCAGAGTAAAACCTTTAACAGCCAGGAGGCAGAGGAGGAAGGAAGAGAGAAGGAAGTAAAAATTTAGAAATAAATTTCCACTTTACATGTTATTAGTGCAGTCCTGTTTTTTATGACTCTTTAGCTCTTTGCTTATGTTTCTTTCCATCCCACCCACTGCTCTCAAATTAGTGACCACACATTGCCCAATAAAATAGACTAATACTTGTAAAAGGAAGAAGCATTGTAAGCCTGGCCAGAGATGGCTTTCTTCAACTCCAGGTCTGTCCAGTAATAAAGAAAACCAAATGGCCAGGCTCACTGCTAGGTCCTGTACATGAATTTACCTAGATTGATATTTTTAGTAAGCGTCATTATTACTGTCCTCATTTTACTGATAAGGAAACTGAAGCTCCGAACGATTAAATAAGCTGCCAAAGTCACACAGGTACCAGCTGTGGAGCTGAGACCTGAACCCAAGTAATCTGACTCCATGCCCTGACTGACCATGGGATACTGTCTCTACATCTTCCTAGGCCCGAGCGTCACTGTATTTTTCTGTTACTGTCGCCTTCCCAGATCCACATGGGATTAGACATTGTTTTATGGGCACTTTCTTCTTTCCTTCTTTATTTCCCCCAGAACACTGTCTGGGGCTCATTTATTAGTTCCAGGTTCCCCTTATTCTCCAAGTTACATAGACAGTGAGTTGATGACATTTACAAGACCTTTAAAGACCACTAAAACTTCCACTTTCTACTTGTAGAGCTATTATGGAATAGATCAATAAAAGCCCAGGGCATTTTAAGAATTGCTTCTAATTTTATAGATAAAAGGCTAGATGCTCCCCTGTCCATTTGGCTTCTGATGCTGCAAATTATCTCGCCGGTGGTCCCAGACGTGAAATTGCTGACGTCGGCTCCTTGATCCCCAAACCCAACAGCCACGTCCTGCCTGCAGCTTGGCCTGTCGGTGGCAGCCTCAGAGGATGTTTCTCACCTGGTTCTGCCTAACTCGTGAAAGAGCGCTGAAGCCTAGCAAATTTACCTAATACAGGATATACACCTGCTCAGCACATCAAAAAGTGTAACTGTCCCATGGAGCAAGGAACGTCTCCTAAATCACTCAGTCTTAGTTACCAGCCAGGCCAGCCCTAGGAACAGTCACGCCTTTAGAGAAAGCAAACAGGTAGGTAATTAAAGAAGGAAAAAGGGATTCTTGCCAATTTTAGTCACAAGGTTAGAATAAATTCACAATTCTTTGTTCCTTAAGGCACCTGAGAGCCAAGAGCTGACTCCAGATAAAAATCGTCTGAATGCCACGCTGGCCGAGAGAGGGGGACTGTGGGAACTACTGCCCCATGGCTTCATGGGAAAAGGCTTTCTTTTGTTTGATGACTAACTGTGGGGGTCGGAGTCTGGCATGCAAGGAGGGATGAGAGCTGAGGACAACAGTGTCACCAGGTCCTAATTTCAGCTGGGGAGAGGCCACGTCTTCTAATGCCTCTGTACTTGATGGCATCTCTGCCTGACACCCTCCTAGCCTGGCATCCTCCTAGGCTTGTTCCTCATGTGGCTCATCTCTTGGCTTCTTGGTGGTCTCAACTCAAACGTCGCCCCTCAGAGAGGCCTGTGGCCCTCCCTGAACACTCTCTCTGAAATGGCCTCTCTCACAGCTCCTTGTTTCACTTGCTTCAGAGTAAGTACCAGTCTCATAAATTGCTGCTTTATTTACTTATTTATAATCTTTTCATTAGACTATAACATCCACTGAGCATCTGAAAGGCCCTCAGGCTTTCTCTTATGAGGCTTTTGGACTTTGATTTCTTGCTACCTTGCACAGCTTCTCTTTCTTATTTATTTTTTCTACGTCATGCTTCACGGCAGGTGGGTGGAGGGTATGAGACAGTGGCTGGTGTAGGTGGTGGTCTGGGGAGGTGAGGTGGCCCATCTTGGCTCTTGGTTTTTAAGTCATTACAATAAAGGCTGGCAACTGGCAAGACCTTACAATATGAAACTAATCATGGCAAATTTTTGTCTGAACTGGCTAATTAATAATGTTACTTATAGGACCAATGATCGACTTCCTGCCTTCCATCGCTCCGTGCATTCATCCAAGGTGTGCAAGGGTAAGAAAGAAGTTTTCAAAAGCCAACCCAGTTTTCTGTGAACAAGAGCTGCTTTATGCAACAGAGCCTGGAGGAAGTGGGAGCCGTGTCTATGGTGAGGTCTTCGGGAAGGGCATTGAGTTGGCATATTTGCTAATCAAGCTTCTCAGGGGAACAGAGGAGGCTGGACTCTGCCACCGGGAAGCCAGCCAAGTGTGGAGGGAGGCCTCTTAGCAACAGTCTGAAGGAAGCTGAAGATCCCTGCACCCAAATGATGCTGATCCTGTTCAAAAGATCACTGAAAAAAAGGCTCTCCACACCTAATGTCTGGCCACTAATATCCAAAGACTCACTGAGCTCTATGCAAAAACTAAAAACAAGAAAAAATAGTGAAAGTGAAGCATAATAATGAAGCTGTCTCCTTAAGCTCACACAGCTTGCTTTTCTGGAAGCAGAGCACGTTTTAACTCCAGAGCTGACGGTGCCCATGCCCCTCCCATGACTCCCAAGACATATAAAGGGCCCCCAGTGTCTAGCAAGGATGGTGCAGCAGACAGAAGTGACTTATTGCAAATGATACATGGAAAAACGGTGCCCAAAGCCTGGCAAGCACTAATTCACTGGATTCAAACACAGACTGGGCGTAGGAAATTTAGGGTGACATCAAATTAATTTCAAGTGTCTGACTTCCACTGCATAATGAAAGAGTAAGAAGTTTAGACTGGTATTCTGAGCACGTTGGCCTCAAGGAAAACAGGAGCACCTAAATATTGAGGACAATTCCATTAAAAATACATCCCTCACAGGGTCATTAAAGCATACTGACTACATTATCACTTAACAGCAAGAACTTGAGTGACAGGCAGCGTCTTGCAATCTAGATGGTTGATGCTGCCTCCATAAATAAGCCAAGAGGATGGGGAAAGTAGGTGCAAAACCTTCCACAAAAAGGGCACGATCATTACAGAGGCTAATAAAAATCGCAATTATGAAAAAGCAATAACCGAATAGCTACTATATACAAGAAACAACCCTGCAATTAAAAATGTGTATAGAAACACTGGATAAAACAGATTAGACTGGAAAGGAGAAAGAGAAGCTGATTTATTGCAAGCATTGGGCCCAAGTGATAAGAATCTGAAAAATGTAGCCACATTAGGAACACAGAGAGACAGATGTGGATAGATAATGATGACAAGTACAAGATCACAGGTATGTGCTTCTGATCAGGAAAATCCCGGATGAATCCTCTCCCAAGGCAAAGGCATTTTATCGTCATGACTGGGGTTTCTCCATCAGGCTCATTCTGCCCTGTGATCACAATCACGGCAGAGCAGGGACTGTGATGTCAGGGCTAAAACCCAAGTGTTTCAGTAACGTGACTGTGGCATGTGATTTAGTATTTAATTGCTGTGACTTTGCCTACATCCTCTAAGCCCCTTATCTTTAAAATTCCCATCCCACCTCACAAGGATATTTAGAGGAAAAATTAATTAAATGACTTAAAAAAAAAAAAAAGGAGGGGCTTCCCTGGTGGTGTAGTGGTTAAGAATCCGCCTGTCAATGCAGGGGGCACGGGTTCGAGCCCTAGTCTGGGAAGATCCCACATGCTGCGGAGCAACTAAGCCCGTGCACCACAATTACTGAGCCTGAGCTCTAGAACCCGTGAGCCACAGCTACTGAGCCCACGAGCCACAACTACTGAAGCCCGCGCGCCTAGAGCCCGTGCCCTGCAACAAGAGAAGCCACCGCAATGAGAAGCCCACACACCGCAACGAAGAATAGCCCTCACTCGTCACAACTAGAGAAAGCCCGCGCACAGCAACAAAGACCCAGTGCAGCCAAAAATAAATGATTTTTAAAAAAAAGTACGCACAGTACATATATCTCTAGGCTATCTTCTCATAGAGATTAAACAAGTCTCCATTTGATGTAACACATGGCAGCCGTTCCAGTGTAAATAATTAGATGCATTTTAAGTAAAAAAAAAAAAAAAAAAAAAAAAAAAAAAAAAAAAAAAAAAACGCATTCAAAAGCATAAATCTTTCCAAGTCTTCATCCTACTATGTATCGCTGCCCCCAATTCCTACTGTCTAAGCCCTCGTCATTCTGACCCAGCTCCACTTCCTCTCTCCTTGGTGTTCTCCCTTTCAGGCCCCAAATCAATTAAAGGCATTATTCGCCAAGGTTCTAATTGCTGTGGGGTCACAAATACAAAGCAAGCACCACCTTTACCATTACAAACTCACCATCTACTGGAGAAATGAATACTTGTACAAGTATACTTCATGGCTGACTATAGTGAGTGCTGCTGCAACCGTGAGGTATATAATAATTTTTAAGCTCAGAAGACATCTCAACTTTGGAGATCAGAGAATTCACAGATTAGATAATGTGTGAGCAAAGCACTGATACAGGAGAGAAAAGGGAGGGGGACAGATGTGCCAAGCAAAGGAAATGTTGTGAGTAAAGGTATGAAGCGTGAAAGCAGAGGCTGGAGATGGTGCTAAAAAGGTTGGCTAGAACCTTATTACACATCAACTTAAATGCCCCATGTTAAGTCTTTTGCACAGATTAGTTTAGGGCTGGTTAGGGCAACAAATCACAAGTAAAACTAGATGTAGGGACTTCCCTGGTGGTCCAGTGGTTAAGACTCCAAGCTCCCAAAGCAGGGGGCACAGGTTTGATCCCCGGTCAGGGAACTAAGACCTTGCATTCCACATGGCACAGTCTAAACAGACAAACAAGTAAAAACTAGATGTACTGAGGCAAACTGGAAATCAGAGCAGTAAAGCAGACAATATGTTGTAGATGAATTAAAGACAGAGCCTAGTCATTCCAGTGGCAATGAACTGACTGGGGTGCATTGGTGAAGGGATGAAGGGAATTCACAAATAGAAGGCAATGGTCACCCATATATGAAATC